CCACTGAAGAGATTCCACCTAAACATTAGGAAGACCTCCTTGCTCCTTATGGTAAGAGTTGTTCAACAATGGAATACAGTGTCTTGAGGTGTGGTGGGATCTCTTTCTTTGGGGAGTTTTAAACAGAGGCTAGATGGCCATCTGTCAAGGGTGCTTTAATTGTATATTCCTGCATGGCAGAAGATTGGCCTTTGTGGTCTCTTCCAACTCTATGATTCTGTGATTTTATGATTCTACATAGAGGAAGCCATTCTCACCTCCATAGGAAATGAGTTCCAGAGCCAAAGGGAAGCCACTGAGACGGCCCTACCTTACATCCCCACCATTCCTGCCTGTGAAGGTGATGCTTCAGTCCTAATGAATTCTGAATGCTCTGTGTTGTAACATTTTGTAGATCTCTCCTATTCAGAGGCCAAAGGTTAGCTCTTTCCACTTTCAGGAATTTTATTTGAGCTTAACTGGTACTTTTGCATGTCAAAATTACAGAAAGAGATGAAGCAGGTGGATCTGTCAGCAAACAGATGTCACTGAAAATTGGTGCACAACATTTTCTGTATTTACATAGACAGTTATCCCACAATCAGAAGTTATGATTTGGAATGATAAAGCAACTGGAGGGATATTTTGCCGAATGTATCAGGAGACTATCAACTAAAAGAGAATTTCACAGTTCTTCTTTGCAAGGCTGGAGAGGGCTTAAATAAAAAAATATAATGAACAAGAAGAATAGGCTTTTGTGGGGTATAATTTAAGTTTCCAGGGCTTTAATCCTTTTAAAGGGAAACAAAAATATGCAAATATGAAAGTTAAACTTGTTAAAGTCCAGCTTTCACTAGCAGAACAACAGAAGTGTGAGCCTGACTTAACTCAAAAGAAACAACAAACATGCAGTTTGTAGTTTAAAAACAAACAATAATAGCTTTAATAAATATGTACATAAAATAACTAAAACCTAATCAAACTGGAGATGGTTTGGGTAAAGAGAATAAATCTCACCATTTTATAGATAGCACTGCATACTGACTGCTGACTGCAGTTACTAGCAGTTTAGAATCTTCAGAGAGAGCTGTTAAACTGCCTTCAAGATTCAGTGACCAAAGTCACATGATAATTAGAAGGAGAAAAAGGGAGGGAGTCCCTATTTATATAATGAAGGAAAGGAGAATGTAAACATAATTTTTCCAACAGCTATAACCTCTTTCCCTCCCCGTCCTTTTTTTCAAAGCAGTGTTTACAGATAACTCAATACATAAGTGATGCAATAGACATGCAGATAGTATTCCAAATCAAAAGATTTGTGTATCTAGTTTTAAATTTTACACATAATATAAAGGACTTCAGTATTTTAAGAGGTTTCAGATAGAAGATGGCATAGATTTGTTCTCTAATAATAATAATAATAATAATAATCTTTATTTATATTTCCCGCCTCTCCCTACGGATCAAGGTGGGATTACACAATAAAATGTATACAATGTACAATATACAATCAATAAAATAGAAAAATCAGAACAATAATAACAAATAATAAGAAAATAGAATAGAATAAAATGAAATAAATAAACATAAAATAGAATAGAATAAAATGGAATAAAATAGTCAATCGTCGTCAGAATCTAGAAATCTAGAAGATCAGATGGATAGACCTGCCAGAAGAGCTCTGTCTTAAGTGACTTCTTAAAGGCATCTAACATAGTGATAAGACGGATCTCTTCCAGTAGGCCATTCCATAACTTGGGAGTTGTGACTGTGAATGATCTTTGGGAAGTAGAGTTTGATCTGCTTTTGTAATGATCTAATAAATTCTTCCCAGATGTTCTGAAAGTGCGGGGCGGATTAAGTGGGGAGAAGTGTTCCTTCAAGTAATTCAGGCCCAAGCCATGTAGGGCTTTAAAGGTAATAACCAACACTTTGTACTGCGCCCAGAAGCTAATGGATAGCCAATGAAGAGATTTTAATATAGGTGTTATATGGTCCGACCTAGAAGTTCCAGTGACCAATCTGGCTGCCGCATTTTGAACCAACTGAAGCTTCCAAACTTGGTACAGAGGTAGCCCCATGTAGAGCGCATTACAGAAATCTAGACGAGAGATTACCAGGGTAAGTAGTACTGCTTCAAGGTCCTTTTGGTCCAGGTAGGGACGCAGTTGGCGGATCAATCGAAGTTGATACCAAGCATTCCTGGCCATCGCATCCACTTGAGATGACAACTGTAAAGATGAATCCAGGAGTACTCCCAAACTGCATACTTTGTCCTTTAGGGGAAGTGTGACCCCGTCCAGGCTTGGTTGGCAAAGCTCCCTTTCCGGACTTGGGGTACCTATCGCAAGTACCTCTGTTTTATCTGGATTCAGCTTGAGTTTGTTTCCCCTCATCCAACCCATTACCAACTCAAGACAGGCATCAAGAGGCAAGACTAAAGCCAATGGATGGAAGATGTGAGATAGCAGATTTCAGAAAAAGAATAGGACAGATTCCTTCTCCCTCCACTGGCAGGTAACCATCTGTCAGGGATGCTCTAGTTAAAGTGTGAGCAACCACATCAGAAGAAGGGACCAGTTTTTACCCCCATTTCCACCCTTGGGGTACACCAAATCATATCACTTCCTTACACTATTTTCAGTCAATTTCCTGTTTACACTCAGTTTGGAGCAGATTTCAGTGGGAGAATAAAATCATGCTGAAAAAGTAAAAGGGGCATGGAGGACTTGAGGACCACAAAGGTGGAAGTTTGTCTACACTTCCCACACCCATTTTAGTTCAATCCTACTTTTCAGATCTTGCATAGAGCAAGGAATTGAACCACATCAGTTGTTCGCAACCTTTGGTCTTCCAGAAGGTTTGGACTGGCTTCCATAATTCCTAACTGTCGGCCAAGTAGATTAGGGCTTCTGGGAACTGAAGTCCCAAACAAAGGTTGGGAACCACTAGACTAGATGACCACCCTCCACTATGCCAACCAAATCCATAATTCTATGGTTCCTGCACAAACCTGTTCTAAGCAGTCCAGTGTAAATGTGCCACAGAATCTGCCTTTCTTCTCATAAACAGAGGACAGGATAGTGATGACTAAAGCTATCAGCATCAAGAGGCTAATAACCTCTGCCAGGTTCCTATCATGGTGATGCTATCTCCCCTGACAATGCTACTTGTCCCTTATTTCATGAATAATTCTTTCTCAATCACCTTCTTGGGCTAGATGTCTGTTTTAGATTAGAAGTGGATTATTCTTTTACATCATAGCAGGCTTGGCTCTCTGTGTACACACTGACAGGAGAAGTCTATTTAGGGAGGTGCAACCCATCTAGGAACAAAAAAAAATGGCATGGAAATTGGGAAGATGTATAGCAATAGCAATAGCAAGTAGATTTCTATACCACTTATCAGTGCACTTAAGCACACCCTAAGCAATTTACAATGTGCAAGCTAAATGTCCCCAACAAGCCAGGTACTCATTTTAGCAATCTCAGAAGGATGCAAGGCTGAGTTGATCCTGAGCCCTGGCTGGTATTGAACTCACAACCTTATGGTTTGTGAGTGAGTGGCTGCAGTACAGACATTTAAACATTGCATCACCAGAGCTCTCTACAGTTGTACCTCTATATCCACAGATTCTTTATCCATAGATTCAACCATCTACAGCTTGAAAATATTCCAAATATATATAAATTCCAAATAGCAATCATCGATTTTGCCATTTTATATAAGGGAAATCATTTTACTATTCCATTTTATATGAGACTTGAGTATCCATGGATTTTGGTATCTGTGGTGGGTCCTGTAACTAAATCCCAGTGGATACCAAGGCAGGGTGACCAGATGTCCTAACCTCAAGGGAGAACAAGGCATTGCAAAATGTAAGACATTCAAGGAAAATGGATAACTAAATAAAAGCTAAAAACACTCATAGAAAGGTAAATTCATGCTTTTTAATCATGCTCTAAATGGAGGACATCTTGAAAATCCTCCTGGACAGAAGGCTGAAATGTAGGACCTGTTCTGGAAAACAAGGATATTTGGTCAGCCTGTACCAAAGGCCCACTATATATGGGGAAACAGTCACATACAAAAAAATAGAAATATTCTTGTTCAGGGAAAATGTATTGGATTTTGATAGTTTAAATGCAGGATGCCATAATGTATTCATCACATATCAAAGAGAATGATTGGCTATTTGGATCTTACATTTAGAACAGTATGGTTAGAGCATGTATGCAGCCATATGGATGTGTCTGCATGGGGCAGAATACTCCAGGAGCAGTCTGGAGTATTCTAGCTCCAAAGCTGCCCCAACATCCTTCTATTACCTGGACACTCTGGAGCAGGGGCAGGCAACCTTTTTGAGACCTAGG